GTGTGTGTGTGTGTGTGTGTGTGCGGCCCCTCTTCCCCACTGCTGACTCCCGCTCGCTCGCCTGCTTTCTGCGTCGCTGGGCATCGCCCCTTCGATGCAGGGCCCCTCGCGCGCGGGCACCCCCTCCGCCTTGGGTTCCCCCCCTCCTCGACCCGTTCCTCCGTGTCCCCTTCCCGTCGGGCGGCCGACTCGTCCCCTGTCGCAGGCCACGGGAATGTCCCTGATGCTCGAACACTCGCCGAGCACCCTCATGTCGGCGACCGGCGCCGGAGCGCCTACGGCGCCGGTCGATCTTCCGACCGCCGGGGCCGTGGCATCGTCCCTGTCGGACGTGGTGCCGCTGCTGACGTCGGCCGAGCCGGCGGCCACGGCCGGGCCCGGGCCCGAGGGCGCGGCCCCCCTGCACGCGGAGCTCGAGCACCGGTCGCAGTTCCTTCGTCTGCATGTGGATCTGGCCACCGGGGTGCTGTCCGGATCGACGATCATCGAGCTGCGCGTCCTGGCCCCGGCGGCCGACCCGGTCCCGGGGGTGAGTGCCCCCTCGGCGACGACGGCCACGGCGGCCCCGGGGTCCGGCCCGGGCACAGCCCCGGACGTCGGTGCGCCTGCCGGCCCCGAGACGCCGGCCGGCCCTGGGGTGTCGTCCCCCGCGGCGGGCCCGGGGTCGGGGCCGGCCGCTGTGCTGCCGGCAGCTCCCGCCCTGGCGGCCGATGGGCTGCCCATCTTCTCGTCGGTGCAGCCATCGCTGAACTTGCATTGCGGGGCCGGCTTGCAAATCGACGGGGTCACCTGCCTGGTGACCAGCCCGGGAGCGCGGCCGACCCTTTGGTGTGATCTCCCCCGGCGGCCGGTGGCGCCGAAGCTGCCGACATCGGTGTCCGGCGGGCCGGTGGCGGCTCCGACCGGGGCCGGCGGGCCGGCCGGCGCGCCCCCATCGCCGCCGGCGTCGGATGGCCCGGACGTCGTGGCCTCGCCGGCCGCGAGCACGGAGGCCCCGACGGCCGGCGGCCCCGGCGATCGGCCCTCCACGGGCACCGACTCGGACATGGCGGTCGACGTGCCGCCCGGGGCGCCGGCCACCCCGGCCTCGGACGAGCTGGACCCCGGCCCGGAGGCCTCGCCGGCTGACTGGCACTGGGACACGGACGACATCGTGGACCTGGCCAAGGCCACCGAGGCCGGGCACCCGGATGAGGTTCTCTTCGGCCAGTGCCGCATGCTCCGTTGGCCGACCGGATTCCTGTGCGTGGCCCCTCTTGCTTGCGCTTGTGCCTTGCCGTCGCCGCGCCCGCGGCGCCGGGATGAGGGGCCTGCCCTTTCCCGGGCCCGGGGGCCAATATCCTTTCGCTCTCTCTCTCTCTCTCTCTCTCCCTCTCTCCCCTTACCGACGATGTCATTCTCACCGCCCATGTACGGGGATAGCCTGCGAGCGCCTGCCTCGGCTCCGACGCCGGAGGACGTGGTCCGGTCGCTGACCGGGCAGAATGCCCTGTCGGTCTTGTCGCCGGAGTTTTACGGGCAGGATTTCGACCTGGAGGTCCCCTTTCCCCGGCAGGCGGCCGAGTTCCTGCTGCGTGGTGAGCTGCCGGCGGCCGGGCCCTCTGGCAGTGCCCCGGGCCCGGGCACCCCCCGGCGGGCCTTCCGGTCGCTCTACATCAAGATCGACTTCCGGGTGCTGGCCAGCGGCAGCATGCCGGAAGCCAGCGCCTCCGGCAGTCTGATGGCCGCGCGCTGCCCGCAAGGGGGCCACATCACACACATCTACACCAGTAGCGTGGTGCGTCTGCCGGCCGGTGGCCACGCATGCGGGCCTTTTTTCCCCCGGCTGCCACAGTGGGGCTGGCATGTTGCGCGCGCGCGCTTATCTCTCTCTCCCTCTCTCCCTACCTCTCTCTCTCTCTCTCTCTCTCTACCTCTCTCTCTCTCCCTACCTCTCTCTACCTCTCTCTCTCTCCCTACCTCTCTCTTTCTCTCTCTCTCTCTCCCTACCTCCCTCTCTCTCTCTCCCTCCCTCCCTCTCTCTCTCTCCCTCTCTTCCTACCTCCCTCTCTCTCTCTCTCTCTCCCCCTCCCTCCCCCCCCCCCCCTCTCTCTCTCTCTCTCTCTCTCTCTCTCTCTCTCGCTAACGCCCCCCCCCCGTGGCCCTCTTGCATTGGCCCAGCTTGGCTCCTCGCGCCAGTGGTTCCCCTGCGTGGATGACATTGCCCAGAAGTGCACTTGGCGGTTGTCGGTGCGCGCGTCGCCCGGGCCGCTGGCCACCGGGCCGACGAACATCGTGCTGGCCGGCGACGCCGTAGCCTCCGGCACCCTGGAGGAAGAGGTCCTGCCGGTGCTCGGTGCCGGGGCCGATGGCGATGTGCCGGGGCCGGCCGATTCGGCCGCCGCCATGGCCATTGATGGGGCCCCGGAGGAGGGGCCCGGCCCGGGGGCGAGCCCCGCGCCGGCCGGGTCGCACACGGAGCTGGTGCACTTTGCCCGGGCGGAGATCCCCACCCCGCGGCCGGCATCGGCGGTGGGCTTCGTGGCAGGGGCCCTGCTGCCGGTGGAGCTGCCGCTGGGCTTTTCGCCATGCTTCCGGCATGGGCGGCGGCTGCCTTTGTCGCGAGACCCGCCGGGCAGCCTGGCCGGCGGGGCGTCACGCGCGCCGGACATGGGCTTCCGCCTGTCGGCCTTCGTGCCGGCCGGGGTGTGCCCCCGGCGACTGTTGTCCACGCTGGCCGTGGCTCCCCGGGTGTCGGCCTTCTGCCGGGGGTACCTGGGCCGGGCGGCGACGCCGGGCTTCCGGCCGGACCTGACCGAGGCCACCGGGCTCGGGCTCTTCGGGCTGGCAGCCCCGGGGGCGGATGTGAAGCAGCGCCGCCGCGAGCAGACATCCTTCGCGGCGCATCTTTCCTCGGCCGCGCGTTTGGCGCGCCAGGCCCGGGCATCGGCCCTGGACCTGCCGGCCGGCCAGGCCAACGCCGGGGATCTCCTGGTCGAGGGGGCCGGCGGGTCTGGCGGCCCGGGCATCGGGTCGGCCGGGTCGGGCGGCGGCGGTGCCGGCGGCGGCGGCGGCGGGCCTGGATCCGGCCCCGGTGGCCCCGGTGGCCCCGGCGGCCGGCGGAAGTCCCTGTCCATCGGGTCCGGCCGGCGTGGCGCGGGCCTGATGCCCGGGCGTGATGGGCACCCCTCCCGGCGGCCGGGCGCCCACAGCTCCGGCGACTCGGCCACCGACTCGGATCATGGCCCGACCGACGAGCCGACCGATGATGATGATGTGGCGGATCGCGGTCGGCCGGGCCGGGTCGGGGCCGGCCGGGGTGGCCGGTCGCGGTCGCGGTCCACCGGCCCCGGGGCCGGCAGCCGTGGCGGTGCCCGGTCGCGGTCGCGGTCGCGGTCGCGGTCGCGGTCGCGGGCCGGGGCATCGGGGCTCCTGGTCGGCGGGCACCGGCGATCGGAGACCGAGCTGCTGGCCCGACGGGGCCCGGCCTCGCCGCTGTCCCGGGGGTCCGGGCTGGCTGCCGGGTCGCGCGATGTGTCGCCCGGGCCGCGGCGGGGCGGTCGGCGAGGCCCGGCCGGGCGAGGCCCCTCGCGCGGGCCCGGCCAGCGCTTGGCCCCCTCCCTCGGGTCGGAGGAGGAGGAGGACGATGACCCGCGGAATCCCTTTGCCTCGGAGGGGTTCGAGTCCGAGGATTCGGACCGCAGTGAGCGGTATTCGGATTCCGGGGACGAGGGCGGCCGGCGCGGGCGGGCGGCCCACCGGCGGCGGCGGCAGCAGCAGCAGCAGCGGCAGCGGCGGCGGTCCGGGCGCTGGAGCGACTCCGGCCCGTCGGACTCCGAGGGGCTGGACGAGGAGTCCGACTGGGAGGATGACCGCCATGATGATGTGGATGACTCGGGGTCGGATTCGGCCGACGAGTTGGAGGACTCCTCGGATGAGGAGGACTTCGATGACGACGAGGCGGCCCTGGCCCAGGGGTTCCTCCCGGCCGAGTGTGACATCCGGCTGGTGTTCATCCCGGCCGGGGATGCCCCTCGGCGGGGGGTCCTCGGGCAGGCGGCCGGGCTGGTGTGCCTGTCGAGCCGCATGCTGCTGGAGGCGGTGGGGTATGCCACGCGCGGGTGCGACGCGGTCCTGGGGCCGGTGGCCTCGGTGTCGTATTCGGCCGGGCCCGGGGCCGGTGGGCTGCCCTCGCGGGCCGGTCTCCGGGCCTCCCCCTCGGCGGCCTTCTCCTCGTATCGGACCGTGGTCAATGCCCTGGTGGAGCAGTACCTGGGTCGGATCTTGGTGCCGGTGTCCAGCCAGGATGCCTGGTTCCTGCGCGGGCTGGTGGGCCATGTGGCCGGGCTGGCGGAGCGGGTGCTCTTCGGGCAAACCGACTGGAAGGTCCGCCTGCAGGCGGACATGGACCGGGTGTGCGAGCTGGACACCGACCAGCTGGCCTTGAGCTATGAGCACAGTGTGCCGGTGCTGAATCCGGCCCTGCGAGCGGAGTTCGTGGCCCTCAAGTCGCGCCTGGTGGTGCACATGCTGGAGCGGGTGCTGCGCGATCCGAATGCCCTGCGCCAGCACCTGCGCCAGGTGGTCCTCGAAGCGGGGACCTTCTATTCGGCGTGGCAATTTGGCGTGGCGCGCTTGCGGCTGCGCTTCCATGCGCGCCTCGAGGCGCAGGCGGCCGCCGGGGCCGGGGCCGGGGCCGGGGCCGGGGCCGTGTTGCCCGCGGCCGCCGGCACGGGCGCCGGCACGGGCGCCGGTCCTGTCGGGGGTGCTGCCTCTGCCAGTGGTGCCCCGGTGGCCGGGTCCACGGCCGGGCCGGGTGCCAGCTCGGCCGGGGTCGGCAGTCCGCCGCCACCCGGCGGCAGCGGCGGCGGCGGCGGCGGCGGCGGCGAGTCGGACTTGGCCGGGGGCCCGGGCAAGGCGGCGGGGCTGGCGGGCCCCGTGGCGGCCCCGCCGCAGACGCCGCTCGAGCGCCTGGCCCGGTCGGAGGCCGGGCCCGGGCTCTTTGCCCTGGGCTTCGACGACTTCATCGGCCGGGCCACGCGCAGCCTGCAGACGGATGCCAATGCGGTGAAGCACTTCATCGGGCAGTATGTCCTGCGGCCGGGGGTGCCGGTGATCCGGTGCACCTTCACCTTCAACAAGCGGACGTCCGAGCTGAAGGCCGTGGTCACGCAGTCGACCACCACGCGCATGGTCAGCTCCTTGAATCACTTCACCTTCGAGTTGCCGATCCGGGTGTTCGAGGTGGAGGAGACCCACGACCACTACCTGCCGATGGAGGGCCTGAGCCGGGACCGGATCATGAAGTATCGGTCGAAGTCCAAGCGCCTGCGGCGGTCGCCCCCGCGCTTGGGCGACTCCTTCCCACATGCGGGGCTGGTGGCCGACTGGGCGGAATTGGACCAGGACCGGCTGGAGGACTTCCCCATCCTGTGGGTGCGCGTGGATCCGGACCTGCAGCTGCTGTGTCTGAAGGTGCTGGAGCAGCGGCCCTTCCAGTGGCGCAATCAGCTGCTGATGGATTCGGACGCGGTGGCCCAGCTGCAGGCCATTCGGCACTTGGTGCCGCCGGCCCTGCCGGCCCTGCTGCCGGTGCCGGACGCCGGGGTGCTGGCCCGGGCGCGGGAGCTGTCCCTGCGCGGGGTGGCCGGCTCGGGGGCCGGGCCCGGGGCCGCGTCGGTGCAGGCCAGCCGTGTGGGCACACCGGAGCCTGGCGGCTCGCCGGCTCCCGGGGCCGAGGGCGACCTGCCGGCCGGCGACCCGCTGCCCGGTGGCGGCGGCGGCGGCGGCGGCGGCCGGGACAAGGACTCCGACTCGGCGGCGGCCCAGCTGGTGGCCGACCGCCGGACGGAGCTGGCCCTGCAGCGGGTCCTGGTCGATGGCCGGGCCTTCCATCGGGTTCGGGCGGCGGCGGCCGTGATGCTGGCCCGGCATGCGCCGGTGCCGCGGCGCCCGCCGCAGTCCATGCGCGAGCTCAATGCCCCGGAGGGCCCGATGGAGGCGGTGCTCTTTTGGCTGCTGGAGGAGCTGTGCTTCTCGCGGGTTGGCGCGGCGGCCGGTGGGCCGGCCGGCTCGGGGGCCCGGCCCGCGGCGGCCCCCGGCGGGTCGGGCAGCCTGGCTGGCGATCGCGCCGCGGCGCCGGCCCCCACCCCGGGGCTGGGGCTCTTCTCCAGCCCGGCCGGCACGCAGTTGGAGCTGCTCAGCCATCTGGCCCTGTCGTCGGTGGAAATGCCAGCGTCCAAGGCCCCTTCCCTGTTGGAAGGCACGGGCGCGGGGTCGGCCGCGGCAGCAGCCGGGCCTTCTCGACTGTGGATCCCCTCGCCGAATGACTTTTCCGACTACTCGCGCTACTTCTGCATCAAGCGTACGCTCGGCCTGTGCTCTTCCCGCCCTTCTCCGGGTCTTTGTCTTTTTTCCCGGTCCCCCTTGTCTGCCCTCTCTGTTGGTGTCTGCTCGCGGAGCTCCCTCCTGTCCCCCTGACTGACTCGCTGTCCTCCTTCGCTCTCTCTCTCTCTCTCTCTCTCTCTCTCTCGCTCCCCCCCCCCCCCCGCTCCGGTAGAGGTGATCGCTGCGGCCGGCACCCTGCGCGACTCGCGCTACCGGCTGCCCTACCCGGGCGTGGTGCGCCTGCTGCTGTCGCTGCTGCGCCTGCAGGACAACTCCTCCAATCGGTATTGCAGCGCCCGCTACACCGCGGCCCTGGTCAGTGCCCTGGCGCGGTCCTTCTCCGATGTCTACTGCCCGGAGCGGCTGAGCCTGCTGCCCGGGGCGGAGGAGGCCGCGCAGATGGCCACCGACCGGGCCAACCGGCTGCTGGATGAGGACCAGCGCGCGGAGTGGCAGCGCCGGCGCGCGCCGGCCCCCCTGGTGGCCGAGCTCCGGGGCCTGTTGCTGGAGGTCGTGTGCGAGATGACCACCCTGCAGGAGTACCACCTGTCCGGGGCCGGGGCGCGGGTGGTCCCGCTGGCCGGGGGGTCGGCCGATGCCGGGCACTCGGACCTGGACCTGCCGGGGCTGATTGCCTCGGCGTGCGTCCTGGCCCTGGGGGATTTGCAGCGCGCGGGCTTGGTGCCGGGGCGGGCGGCGGCCCTGCTGCGGCTGGCCACCGGGGCCGGTGGCCCGGCTGCCGGTCGGCTGGCCGCGGCCCGGGCCCTGGTCGATCTGTTTGGCTACCGGCCGGCGGTCATCACCGGGCTGGTGGAGCTGGCCATCGGGGACCGGTCGGCGCGGGTGCGGTCCGGGGTGGCCCGGCTGCTGGCCGGCATGGCCTGGTCGCCGGGGCACCTGGGCGCCACGTACCACCTGGTCCGGACCCTGGGGCTGGAGGATGGCACCGGGTTTGAGGTGAACCTGCTGACGAGCGCCGCGCTGACCGGGCTGCTGCCGGGCACCACGCGGCAGTTGAATTCGCCGGCCGCCACGACGGCCTTCCGGCGGGCGTCATCGGCGGCGGTGGCCCTGGCTGCCGGGGCCAGTCCCACGCCGGCGGCCCTGTGCCCGCCATTGCAGCCGACCGCCCCGCCGGCGGTGGACCCCCTGTCGGACTATGTGTTCGAGGTGGCCACCCCGGTGCCGGGCCCGGCCACCATCGAGTCGCTGGCGCATCGGTCGTCTCGTCGCGCGGCCGGGGCGGCCACGCGGGCCGATGTGGCCACGCGGCTGCGCGTGTGCCTGGTGCAGCTGATCCTGGCTGCCCATTCGCCGACCGATGTGAGCCTGAATTTGGCCCTCTTCATGCAGGGGCTGCTGCTTTTCGGCCGGCGGGTGGCCGTCGGGGTGCATTGCCACCCGCGGCTGGTGCTGCCCTCGGCCACCTTCGTCCATGGGCTGGATGCGACGGACTGCGCCGGGCGCCCGGGGGCCGGGCCCACGGCCGAGGCCCTGTGGCTGGAGGGCGCCGGGCCCGGCGACGTGGACCAGTGGCTGGGCTGGGGCGAGACCGATGCGGCGGCCTTTGCGCCGTTCCTGGCCGCGGCCCAGGCGGCCGGCGATGTGGCCGCCACCGCGGCGGCCATCGCCCGGGCCTCGCCCAACAATGCCACAACCGCGCGGCTGGCGGCCGGGGCGGCGGCCGCGGTGGCCGCCTCGGCGGCCGATGGCACCACCGAGATCCGCCGGCTCTTCCCGCGGGCCTTCGACCTGCCGGACCTGCCGCAATTGTTCCTGGTGTTCGGGAGTGATGCGGCGGTGGCGGCCAGTCGAGCGGCCGCCGCGCTGGCCGCCACGGCCGAGCACCTGCAGCGCGAGCGCGAGCTCAAGGAGCAGGCGATCCTACTCCAGGCCCAGGCCCAGGCCCAGGCCCAGGCCCAAGCTGCGGCAGCCGCCGCCGCCGCCGCCGCCGCCGCCGCCGCCGCCGCCGCCGCCCAGCAGGATGCCGGCCCCGGTCCGGTCCTGCCGCGGATCACCCTCTCCGGGAGCAGTGCCTCAGCCACGCCGATCCTTGCGCCGGGGGTGTCGGCCAGCGCGGAGGACCTGCCCTCCTCCGGGTCGACTTCTCTGGGCGAGGCTGGCCTGCAGTTGCCGCCCTCGACCCCGGAGCGTCGGGCCTCGCTGGTTCTGACGGCTCCCGGGGCCGGGGCCGATGGGGCGACCCCCCTGCCGACGCTGACCCTGAGCCGGTCGGCGTCGCATGCCGGGCTGGCGGACGTGGCCGAGGGGGCGCCCGGGCGCGGGGGGTCCCCCCTGCCCGGGGCCCGGCCCGGCGTTGTCCTCAAGTCGGAGGATGCCAAGGGGCCGACTTCCGGGGCCGGGCCCCCGGGCGCTGGCAGCACCCTTGCGTCCCCCACCGGGGCCTCGTCCGGGGCCGGAGCCGGTGCGGCCCCCTCCTCCGGGCGGTCGAAGGGCGAAAGCAAGGAGGAGCGCCGGGCCCGGCGTGAGGCCCGGCGCCAGGCTGCCCGTGCGGCGGCCTCGGCCGCCGAGAAGGCCGATCCGGCGGCCTCTGGCCCGGGGGAGTCGGCCGCCGAGCCGCCGGGCCCGCCGGCCGCCGAGCCGCTGCGCATCTCGATCTCCTTCAACTCGGCGTCGGCGGCCGGGCGGTCGAGCGCCTCGTCGGCGGCTTCCTCGCCGCAGCTCGGGGCCCTGGCTGATGACGGGCCGCCTCCGGGGCCGGAGCCGACGCCGGCCCCCCCGGCCACGGACCAGCCCGCCGGTGGTGACGCCCCGGCGGGGGCCGGCTCGCGGCCGCTGCCGCTGACCCCCCTGCGCCAGGCGACCAGCCAGCCGCAGTCGCAGCCGCAGCCGCAGTCGCAGCCGCAGCCGCAGTCGCAGCCGCAGCCGGAGTCGCAGCCGCAGCCGAAGTCGCAGCCGCAGCCGAAGTCGCAGCCGCAGCCGCAGCCGGATGAGGCAGGCCGACCGACGTCCACGAGTCCGGCGGCGGCATCTCCGGCCGGCGCGCGCCCCCTCTCGCTGAAGGTGTCGGTGCCGACCGAGCGCCGGGGGTCGGTGTCGGCCGCCATGCCGGACCTGACCATCGACTCGCGGACGGCCGTGGCTTCGGCCGTGGCCGTGGCCAGCATCGGGTCCGAGAGGGTCCTTTTCGATGCGTCGGCCGAAACGGCGGCCAGCCTGGCCGAGCGCATGGGGGCCCTCATGCGGGCCCTGGCCGAGGATGCACACTCGCTGGCCTTCCGGGACCCGGTGGCGCCGCAGCTGGCCCCGGAGGACCATGCCTTCTACAATTCGGTGGTCCACCGGCCGATCTGCCTGTCGGATGTGTCGGCCAACATCCAGGCCGGGCGGTACTTCGACCGGGCCTACCTGCGCGAGCACTGCCCGGTGGATGTGCCGGCGGCCGAGCAGTTGGCCGATTCGCCGGACGCGCTGGTGACCCTGGCCGCGGCCACCTTCGTCTCGGACATCGAGCTCATCTTCGCCAATGCCTTCAGCTACAACCCGCGCTTCAGTGACATCTACCGACATGGGCTATGTGCGTTGTTGTTTGCCTGCCTCTCTGCCCCCCTGTCCTTCGCCCTCGCGCCGCCCGTGCCGCCCGTGCCGCCCTGTCTGTCTGCCGCGTGTCCCGTTGCTCATGCCTGCTTCCGCCTGCGCCTGTTGCTGCTTGGCTGCGCCCCGCTCGGGGGCCCGCCTGTGCATTCTCCCCCCCCCCCCCCCCCCCCCCCCCCCCCCCCCCCCCCCCCCCCCCCCCCCCCCCCCCCCCCCCCCCCCCCCCCCCCCCCCCTGTCGTTGCTTGCTCGCCGGGCATGCCTGTCCATCCGCCTGCTCGGCCACACGCGCACGCAGACTTGATGTCGCTCTTCCGCGCGACGTGGTCCGGGCGCACAAGGCAGGTCCGCCTGCCGGAGCCGCCGGTCCCGGCGCAGCTCCTCCGGTCGGATCCCCCGCGAGCCGACCGGCCCATGGACAGCATCCCCCTGCCGGCGATTGTCACCCCAACCGAGCACTGGCACGCGGTGCACCGGGCCTCCTCGCTGGCCCTGTTGGACAGCCTCCGTGCCATCGACACCAACCGGTACTTCCATGACCCGGTGCATCCGAGCGCCTTCCGGCGGACGTACTACAAGATCGTGCGGTTTGGCATGTCCTTCTCGGACATCGAGAAGAAGGTGCGTGCCTGCCGGCCGGCGGTGGCCCTCCCCGCTGACCGGGCCATTCTCGCCTCTCCCGGGCCCCCGGCTCGCACTGGCGCTCGAATTCACACTCACCCTCGCGGCCTGGCGATCTTACGGGACCCCCGGCCCCCGCCCGGACAAACAAACACGCACCACCATCACCACCACCACCACCAACAACACCAACAACAACAACGTCACCACCATCATTCCGCGACAATCACCTCAGTTCAAGTCCGCCAATCCCAACAACAATCCCACCCTCCTGGAGACCGAGCTGCTGGTCCGGCAGATCCTGGCCAATGCGCAGTATGTCAATCCCCCCTGGAGCGAGATCTTCCGCTGCAGCCAGGAGATCGAGGCCTACCTCCGGAGCCACTGGCCGCCGGGGGAGGCCCTGCGCGCGCCGGACCTAGCCCATCGGGCCGACCACTACAAGATGCTGGCCTCGGTCGGGGGGGCCACCCTGCCGCCGTCGTACCTGCCGCAGGTGGTGGAGCCGCTGCCGCTGGGGGGACTCGGTGACGGGTCGGCTTCTCCGCCGGCGCCGGGGCCGCCGGCGACACCGGCCGCACGCCGGGCCGGGCGGCCCTCCAAGCGGGCGGCCCTCGACCCGCCGGCCGACGAGGCGGCGCCTCCCGGCGGCGAGCCTGCAAGTGGCGGCCTCCTGGCGTTGGCCGACTCGCCGGGGCCGGGGAGCCCCGCCTCGCCCGGGCGGCGGCGCGGCGCCGGGCGCCCTGCCCGGGGCCCGGTCGGCGCGGCCCCGGGGCCCGGGGCTCCCGGCACCCCGGGCGAGGACATTTCCATAGTGACCCCGGATGCGGTGGGGTCCCGGCGGGCGGTGGCGGCGGCGGCGGCCGCCGCGTCGCTCCCCGTCGAGGAGGCCCTCCTGACGTCGGACTCGGCCGAGACGGTGGATGCGCTGATCTCGGTGGACTCGACGCCGGTGCGCATGGTGAGCCGGAGCAGCGGCGGGGCCGACGCCGGGAAGCGCCGGGCCGGGCGCCCGGTGTCCGGGCCGGGCCCCGGCCTGGAGGCTGCCCCGTTGGCCGGGCTGCCGCATGGCTCGGGTGCCGCCGCGGCGGCCGGCCTGCCCGCCAGCGGGCCGGTGGTCTCCGGGGCCGCGATGGTCCCCGCGCCGGAGGACCTGCGCCAGCTGCTGGCCGAGGCGGATGTGCGCGCCGGCGGGGCCGGGGCCTTGGATTATGCCCTCCCTGCCGAGGCCGCCAGGGCCGACCAGCTGCTGGGCGGCCGGCGCCGGGCGCAGCAGCTGGCCCGGGCCGATCCGAACCTGCTGCTGATGGTGCCAGCCCGGCTGCCTCTCACCCGAGCCCAGCAGGAGGTGGCCCAGACCGGGGCCCCGAGCGGCCGGGGCTTCCAGCAGTGCGAGCGCATCCTGTATGCCATCCGGCCGCTGGACACCTCCGGGGCCTTCAAGTTCGTGCACTCGGATGTGGCCTACCAGCAGTGCGTGCTCCCCCGGGGCTGGTGACTCGCTGTTCCGGCCTTTCGCTCCTCGTCCCTGTGCCGTGCCGGTGCTTGCCTTGCCCCGTCGCATGCGGGCACGCGCACGCATCCCTTTCCCCCTTCTCTCTCTCTTTGCCCGTCTCCGCCTCTCTTTCCCTCTCTCTGTAGCCCTGCCTGACCCCCGGATCAATCCTTTTTTTTTTTGGAATGTGTGTGCGCGCGCGCTCACGCACGACGGCGCCAACCCCCCCCCCCCCCCCTCCCACCCACTCGCAGGGCCGTCACGCAAAAGCTCAAAAGCAAGCTGGTGGCCTTCCATACCATCCAGCATGCCCTGGCCCGGGAGGAGTACGCCACCGCGGCGGACTTCGAGGCCGACATGCGGGCCATGTTCCGGAATGCCCGGTACTACAACAGCGCGCACACGGACAACTACAAGACGGCCGTGCGCATGGAGGCCGCCTTCAATGCGCTGTGGTTCCACCCGGCGGCCGGGGCCCTGTCGCCGAAGGAGGAGGCGGCCATCGTGCGGGATGCCGTGGCCGAGGCCCAGCTGCCGGAGTGCAGCTCGGCCTATGTCATCCGGCGGCTGGTGCCGCTGGTGCTGCCGGCCGGGGCGCCGGGGCGCTGGGCCCCGGCCGAGCCGGGGGCCGGCCCCGGTGGCGGGCCGGCCCTGGCGGACCGGGCGCTGGCCCTGGTCCGGCGGTACCTGAAGCAGGCCTCGCACGCGGACTACCGCGACCTGTATGACGTGCCGGAGTACCATGCCGTGGTCAAGTGGCCCTCCTACCTGCGCCGCATTGAGGGGCATCTGGTGGCGACGACCGGGCGGCCCCGGGGCCGGGGGCCGGGAGCCGGCCCCGGCCGGTCGGCCCAGCAGCAGGCCCTGCCCTACGCCTCGCCGCATGACTTTGTCGTGGACATCCTGCTGCTGTGGCTGAATGCGCGGTTCTTCAACGCCGAGGAGACCTACATCAGCGAGGTGTCGCTGCAATTGCAGGCCAGCTTCCTGGACGACTGGCGGGCCCTGCTGGCCGAGGGGGGCTTCCTGCAGTCGGACCCGGGGGCCGGTGCGGCGGCCGCCGCCGCCGCCGCCGCCGACACGGCCGAGGGCTGGCTCGACCCCGGTGAGGGGGCCAGCCCGGGCTCGGCGCCGGTCAGCCGCGCCTCCTCGCCGCAGCCGGCGTCCTCGTCGGCCGGCTCGTCGGCGGCCCATTCGGCCGGCGGGCGCCTCAGCCGCATTGACATGCATCAAATGCAGCGCGGTGGCGGCCCTGGGCGCCGGTCACGGCCGATGTCGATCTCACCGCCGGCAGCCTCCCTGGCGTCGGGCGGCCCGCGGTCGCCATCGCCGCCGCCGCCGCCGTCGCCGCCGCCGCCGCCACTGCCCCCGGGCCGGGGCGGGCCGCTGCGCAAGCGCCACCGGTCAGCGTCGCCCGCCTCGCGGTCCCCCTCGCCCGGCGCCTACGGGAGTCGGTCGTACTCGCCGCCGCCGCCGCCGCCGCCGCCCGCCATGCGACCGCGGGGCCACTCGCCGGAGGGCGGGGCCTACCCGCTCGGCGGGTCCCGCGGCCCGGGCAGCCGTCCCGGATCGCTGCCCTCCTCGCGGTCCGGGTCCCCCTCCTCCGGGTCCTCCTCGTCCTCGAGCCGGGGCGGGCCGCGAGATCGGCGCGGCGGGCGGCCACGCGCCGGCGCCGGCGGCGGTGGCGGCGGGCACCGGTCGCGGTCGCCCTCGCCCCCGAGCCGGGCTTCGCTGTCCTCGAGCGGAGGCCCGCCGGGCCGGCGGTCTCGCGGGCCGGACGACTCGTCGCCCCACCAGCCCTTCCCCCCGGGCCCGGGGCCGAGCGAGCATCACGTCGCGCCGCACAAGAAGCCGCGGCTGCAGCCGGAGCTGGAGCCCCGGCGCTCGGGGCCCGGTCATCGGGGCCCATCGCGCTCGCGGTCCCCCTCGCCCCGGCGCCGGCGGTCACGCTCGCCGCGGTCCCCCCGGGCCTCGTCGCGGCCCTGGTCGCTGTCGGAGTCCGGCTCTCGGTCGCGGTCCAGGTCACCTGGCGGCCCTCGCGGCCGGCCGCCGGCGCACCACCGCAGCCGCAAGCATCGCGATGTGTCGCGGTCGCGATCCCGGTCCCGGTCGCGGTCGCGGTCCCGGTCCCGGTCCCGGTCCCGGTCGCGGTCCTGGTCCCGGTCGCGGTCGCGGTCGTGGTCGCCCTCGCGCGGGTCTCGCCGCCGGCCGGCCGGCTCGCGGCTGCCATCCGACCGGCTCGCGCCGGGGTCCTCCCTGTCGGGCCACCACTTCCACCATGGCCACCACCGCCGGGCATCGCCCTCCGGGTCTTCGTCCTCCTCGTCGTCGGGCGGCCCGTCGGTTTCCTCTTCGTCCTCCTCGCTGGCTGGCTCGGGGCTGGGGGGCGGCCCGCGCCGGGGCCGGTACTCGCCGCCGCCGCCGCCGCTGCCCCCGATGCCGGGCCGGCGCCGGCGGTACTCGCGCTCGCGCTCGCGCTCGCCCTCCCCCCCTCGGGGCAGGGACCGGTCGCGGTCGCGGAGCCCCGGCGATCTGCCGGGGCACGGCAGCGGCCGCGGGTCGTTCGGCGGCTCGCGCCACGCGTCATCCGGCGCCGGCGGGTATGTGGCCAAGCGGCGCTTCGCCTCGGGGTCCTTCTCGCGGTCTCGGTCGCGCTCGCGGTCGTGCTCGCCGCATGCCCCGCGCCTGCCCTCCAGCAAGCGGCCCTACCATGGCCACTCGCCGGTTGGGGGGCACTCCCCCTCGTCGGCCGGCGGGGCGGCCGGCTCGCTGTCGGGCCCCTCGCGCCATGGCGGCCGCGGCCGGTCTCCCGATCGAGGCCGCTCGAACTGGCGCCGGCGGTCGCGCTCGCGCTGACCCCCTTTCTCTCTCCCTCTCTCTTGTCCCTTGCCCTTGAGTTTTTCGGTTCTCCCTGCAGAATACACCCATCCCCCCTCGCTCGGCATTGTCGTCTGCCTGTCCTGCCTGGCTGGCGGCCAGTGGTCCGGCGCGCTGTCCGGGCGTCCGCTCACAGGGCACCGGGATGCCGGTGGTGCGGTCCTGTGCGCGTGCAAGTGTGCAAGTGTGCAAGTGTGCAAGTGTGCAAGTGTGTATTTTCCATGTGTGCAAGTGTGCATTTTCCATATGTGCATGTTGCATGTGTGCATGTGTGCATGTGTGCATGTGTGCATGTGTGCATGTG